ACGAGTGGTTGTGGCTTCATGGGAAACGCTGCTCTTTCCTACATGCACAGTAGTAGTACCCTGGTCTGCGTTTCTCTTTTTTTTTCTTTTTATTTACAACTATTCACTTCAAGGCTGCATTAAAACATACCCCTATAAAAAAATACAGTACTACCAATAAAAAAAGACAAATATTATATGCCCCTATATTACTTAGGGAGTTAGGGGTTGTTTAGATCAAAGAGTGTAAAGTTTTGGCGCGTCACATCGGTTATTATATAGGGTGTCACATAGGGTGTTCGGACACTAATAAAAAAATAATTATTGAATCCGTCAGTAAACCGCGAGACGAATTTATTAAGTCTAATTAATCCGCCATTAGCGAATGTTTACTGTAACACCACACTGTTAAATCATGGAGCAATTAGGCTTAAAAGATTCATCTCGCAAGTGTGCATTTAGCTAATTTTTTAGCCTATATTTAATACTTCATATAAGTGTTCAAACGTTCGATATAACAGGGTAAAAAATTTTGGGATGGGATCCAAATAAGGCCTTAGAACTCAAAATTAAAGCTAAAATTAAACTTACTTCTAAAGTTGATTTAAAGGTATTTTTAATGTAGTTTCTACTTATTGGTTTTTAATTCACTAACAATACATATTTTTATTTTAAATAAGCTGTTTTGGTTTATTAGAAAATATGGACAATCGATGAGAACATTAATCTATGTTTGACTGTGTGAGAAGGTGAAAAGAAAATCTCATTTTCCGCATGTATACCACCCGAACTGATAAATGATGTTTTTTTCAAAAGAAAAATCTATAGGAAATTTATTTAAAAACCATATTAATCCATTTTCAATGTTTAAAATAACTAATCATCATTAATTATACGCTAATAACTTAATTTTGTGTATCGTATCATCGTTCTTTTTTCTCATTTACTCAAACACACTTTGAGTGTTAGTTATTTTGGGATAAATTTTAAACCCAAAAGAGCTTTTTTTGAATGGATGGAGTGGATTAGAATGCAAAGTGGGCTAATAGGGTATTTATGAAATTAATTTTCTCATCTATGGGTTCTACAGTAAAATAAAATGGTAAACCGGGTGTCACCCTTCGTCCAACTTTTTCACTTTTGACCGGGATACTTTTACCTTTGTGGCATTTTATACCGTCCTTAGCTATTTTATCGTATACATCTATATTGTCGTATGTCAAAGAAACAGTGTATATATAGCTGAGGGAGTTTATTGACCAATAAGAGCAGAAGTATTGAGATCATTCATATGCACGAGAAGAGAGTATCAAAGGCAACATCATCTGATCCAAAGTGAAATCATTGATTAAAGGGTGATCAAAAGCGAAACATTGGTAATAAAAGATGACCCAAGTAAAAAATTACTCCAAAAAGAATTTTCTAGAAAAGTTATCTTAAAACATATTAATCCATTTTTTAGGTTTGAAATAATTAATATCCATTAATCATACGCTAATGGCGTATCTCATTTAGCGTATCTTATCATTCTTCTCTTTTCTTCTTCACTCAAACACATCCAAATGAGTAGTTATTTGGGGATGGAGACAGTAAATTAGAATGTGAAGTGGCCCATAGGGTATCTATGTAATTAATTTTCTAATCTATGGTCCCCAAGGGTAAAAAGAAATCAAGAGAAATATTAATTAATAAAATAAGAGGATAAGGCTACGATAAGGCTATTGTGCATCGTGAAACACTTTCATTGAGAATAACTCGAAGTGCACGATCTTCACAAGAATTTGATGAAAATTTGAGCTAATAAATATAAAGTCTAGCAAAATATTAGCATTAATTACCCTCAGCAATTATACAAGGCATAGAGAGCAGCATGTCAACCAGCACGTTTATTTTCCCAAAGAGCTGGCTCTTGTCTTATCCAAGAATTGTTAATTATATCGAAGATTTGGTAAATAGTATTCACGTGAAGAGTTTACATGATTGGCCAAATAAAATATTCTGCATGCTAGCACATTAATATATTCTACTTGTTGGCCCGTTATGCGGCAAAGTTGTGTTTGTTTTGAGATGTTATTTTGAGCTTAGATTTTTCTTTTTACCAGTTTTCATTTATCCAAGTGTAATATGTTTGTTGAGAAATAAACATTTCCAGAATTTTTTTTCCCAAATAGAAATATTCCAAAAAGAAATATCACCAATTATTGTCGCTTGGTTCATTCTTATTCCATCTCATATATATCTAAGAAATCAAACTAATTCTAAATAACTATACAACATTTATATATCCTAGAAAAAGTACAAGTATTCATGGGATATTTTTTTAGTTTGTGTGCCAAAGGCGCACCGATTTTCTAGTATAACCATGAAAGTTGATATTAATCTATATAAACTTACAAATATTATATAAATCTGATTTTCTTTATCAGAACACATAATATCAGTTAATTGTACTATATGATATATCCAGCGTGCATGTACATATATAGTAACTTATTCTATACGCGTTCTACAGATTGGTGTATTTGAAAGACAAGCAAGCCAATATATCATAATGTGTAATGATGCATGAGGCTCATGATGAGTAATTAAACTTTTGGAGTGAGCAGTATATATATATATACGTACCGATATACACAAATGGCACTTATATATTGCTTGCTAGGTTGCTTGTAATTATCGATGATTGGTTCTGCGGCTAATATATGTTGATGGCCCTGGTCAAGCTAGGCCATCCTCAAGCGAACGTTGGCCCTCCTGCTCCCAAGGTTAATATATGACACATGTACACAATTAGATTATTTGGCATATTGCTGATGTGTATAATATATTGCCGTATAATCTTATTTTTACCATGTAAACATGATGTCAGGAACAAATTTAAACAGTATATATACATCTCTCATTTAAACAGTACACATCTCTCAGAGGTACTAGTAGAGACTAGAGAGCACTTTTCATATACACTCTATTCCTATAAGACAACAGAAACAAGAAGAAATAACTTTAGGGCACAATCATCAAACTACAGAGATAAACTAATCAGATATGTTCGTTCATACCGTAGAGCGTAGAACAGACGGGATGCTTTCTCGTGCTTTGAGACGAATGCCACACAAGATTTTTCAATCTTATGTGGTGGCTGGTTTGAATATAATCAAAGAACTTGCAACTGAACCTCGTCATCTCAAACTTAAGATTATATATATATGGCCCCTGAGTACAATGTATCTATTCCTTTCTTGTGCACAAGAGCAGAACAAAGGAGTAAAGAAGCAGTGGATGAGTGTGTCCTTTCTGGTAGTACGTTTCTTGCAGGAAGAGCAACAAATAAAGAACCAAAGATATGTTTGATTCCCTTAACAAATTAAAGCTGAAGGTTGGCTTAGATGATTACCATTTTCCTTTTGGTATATAATCATGCTGATCGAGAACATATATATCGATCTCCTTCCATCTCACGACTTAATTTGATGGCTTGAGACTTGATCTGTGATGTATTATCTCCGGTCTGCACAACCCTGACCAAACATTTTTCGTCATCTGCCATGTACCGGTAAGCGCTACACTTGCAAGGTTTTTACATGTTATGCATCTCAGTTGTCAAAGTAGAGATCTTTGGAGATGATTATGCTCCTCAATTCCATAGGCATATCCACTGGCTCTAAAGCTCAGAGAAATGTTTGTAATGCCCCACTTGTGACATAGCAGTGTTAAGCTAGGAAAATTCAGATCTAACATAGCAACTAGGGATCCATGACCGAAAAGTATTTTTGAGTTCAACACTATGGGCCCTCCAGGCGTGTGGATGTCAAATCGGTGGCAAATTTTCTTGGCATGAACTAACTTGAGGCCAGGTCAATATACCCTCCGGATGGTTGTAACTGTTCTTGCTTTCCTGCAAAATGGAGAGCAAAATTTCTATACTCCATCCAGCAGAAAGAACACTAGCAACAGACCAACATGTTTTCTAGTATGCACTTTTCAGAACTCAGGCTTCTGAAAAGTCAGAAGACTAAATTCAGGGAATGGGAAGTGATCCAAAAGGCAAAACTGAACAAGGTTTTTTGGCTAGCATTTGTGACGGCCATCACCTGATCATGTAAATCTCTGGACCATGTCAATAGCCTATGGTGGAATCCAAGTCCAATGCGCTTTAGTATATCCGCATGCACGCATTCTCTGAATTCAAATGTGTCTGCAAGAATGACTAACCCTCTGAACAAAAATAAGGGGAAAACACATTATGATTTGCTACATTGGTCGTTGTTATAGTTCTTTATACTACAAAGGAGTGCAAAAGTTTCTCTCAACTAGTGTGGAAAGCAGCTAGAGACAACTACAGTCCATACTAGGCTACATGAAACCTTTTCTGAATTCTTCAATTATAAAGTATGAGATCCAAGAGATATCTACATGACTAAACAGAGGATGGCATGTCAAGCTTTTTGTAGCAGACATTAGAACATGGCAAATTGACAATGAACAGTGATGCAATCAAGAAGAAATGGTGAGAGTTCTATTGGCTGCTAGATAGACAGGCCGGCTACTCTACTGATCCTATTACAAAAAGCCCTGGACCTTGTCAAATGAGGGATGATTGAAGATACCAAATTGCCGGCTTTGTTCTCGGTGCTTTCTGGATTGGAGTACAGGTCAATTAGGACGGCCCAGCCCACTAACAAACTTGGCAATCAGGAGGCCATTGACTCGTTCCTTTCCTTTTCCTCTTTGATTATTATCCCTCCTTGTGACTGCGCAAATCAAGAGTTGGTTTACAAGTTAGATATAAACAAGTCTCAGGCTCATTTGATCACCATTGTTTCAGAAGAAGTTTTTTAAAAGCATAGGTGATATAAAGGTATAATCTAGACTTCAAAATTTTCAGTTTGTTTTCATGTCTTCAGTTTCAGTATAAATATATGTCTACCGTTCATTTGAGTGTGTGCAGTGAGATGCAGTTCCAGATTTGTATCAACACCAACAAGTGACAACAAGACAGTCAAACCTTGACATCAAAAAGGTAAGGAAATTCGTATGCACAATTATTCATTGACTTGAGAAAACTCAGTTGATGACAATTAGAACAGAACATTTACATGAGAGAACTCAGGTGGCCCTAAGAGCTTCACATTACAGGGATTAAACATAAGAAAACCCCCCCAGCAACAGCCACTGGATTGATCATACAAGCTGACACACAGACACTGCCTCCATAGAACTAGAAACCAGGGTCATTGAACAATTAATTTCACCCTGCCTTCAGTTCAGAGTCCAGAGGCCAACCAATACCAAGTTCAGGAAAAATGGCTGCCGCTGATGAGGCTCTCCTCCCTTACGACAACGATCACAAAACCATGAGAGGATCCATTTTTCATGCAGTGATGAACATGCACTAACAAGAGAGAAACTCACTAGATGGAACAGCAAGAAAAGAAAAGAAAACTTAGTTGAAAAGGATATATATAGAGAGACAAGAATGATCATTAGATCATTCTGCCTTCTGAACTTTGCCATCGTCATTCGTCAGACACAGCGGCATCTGATCAGCAGAGCGCCACCGCCCGGTCGGCGGCGGCTGCGGCGGCGGCCTTGAGCATCGCCAAGCCGTACACTCCGGCGTGCTCGCTCGGCTCCGGCTGCGGCGGCGGCAGGAGAAGGAGGCAGCGGCGGTCGAGCAGCGCGGCGAGCGCCTCGCGCATCCAGCCGTAGCGGGAGAGGCGGAAGGCGTCGGCGGGGGGTAGCCAGCGGCGGCCGTGGGTGGCCTGCTCCGGCCACCGGTCCATCTCCTCGGTGACCTCGAGCTCGAACATGTAGCCCTTACACGCGCCGCCCCGGGGGCTCCGGCTCGCCTCGCCGCCGCCGCCGCTCTGGCTGCTCTTGCTCCTCATCACCCACATCCCCAGCGACACTCTCTGCATGCATAGTTGATTTGTTCAGAAAAAGAAACGAAAATTTTACACCGCATCAGCATCAGCCAAGGAATTCGTCTTCTATTTCTTTAGATGATAGAATTCGTTCAGTTCTTTACTTTCGAAATGCTATAGTTATAACTAATACAATGACAACCAATTATTCTCTCTACGGAGGTTTCTGTTCCAATTCGTTGTATTGGGATAGGTTATACTCCCTCCGTTTCAAAATGTTTGACACCGTTGACTTTTTAAGCCTATGTTTAATCGTTCGTCTTATTAAAAAAATTGCGAAATATATAAAACTATATGTATACATGAAAGTATATTTAACAATGAATCAAATGATATGAAAAGAATAAATAATTACTTAAATTTTTTGAATAAGACAAATGGTTAAACATATACTAAAAAGTCAACGGTGTCAAATATTTTGAAATGAAGCAAGTAACATTTAAGAACAGATGAGGAAGTACTTATATAATTTAGCAATTTAGGGGATTAATTAGATTATGTGTGTTGGGCGAACAGTTGACAGGCCACATGGTTGATGGTCTCCATGCATGCATGCAATCAATATAGTACAAGATAAGATGATATGAGCAATCTGTTGACTTGGATATCTGAAAAATTATTTCAGGTCTTTCTGACGAACGAACGACAAGGCCAGCCAAACGACAAATAAAAGAAGCAATGGTTCACACTTCACAGTTCACACCGAGGTGACACGATATGTAATCTCTCTTTCTTAATTTGTTGAAATAAAAAACATATATGATTTTGAGAGAACAATTGGTTTATTATTATTCCTTAACTTGTACTTCCTCCGTTTCATATTATAAGACTTTACAGCATTGCTCGTATTCATATAGATATTAATAAATCTAGACATAATACGGACAATGCTAAAAAGTCTTGTAATATGAAACGGAGGGAGTAGTATTTACTCTGGTTTTTATCATGTCACTGAGTCAACAGCCATGTCTTCCTGTCCTGTTGGTTCTGATCAACAAATGCTCCCGGCAAGTTTTGTCAACAGGGAAATTTCCCTGTCGCTTTCCTGGCTGGCTCATCACTGATCACTGTTGGCTCATTTACACACTGCTACTTTATGAAATAAATTATAAAAAAAAAGAGTAAGTTTTAAGATGGGTCTCTACTATTTACTTTAGAATAGTTATTAAAATTTAATCAATTATATCCTAAATATCAAATATTTTTACCTAGAACAATAGTATTAACTCTGGTTTGAGCTTTAATGGTCAGGCTTTTGTCGAAATACGGCATATGTAACTTGCACTTGTATCATCCACATGGTTTTTAGGCTGAACAAACTAATGTATTTTGGCTATAACTAATAAGACAACAAATAGAAGATGAGAGTGTTTGTTGTTATGCATAGTTGATTGTGGACACGAGCAAGACACAGAAGTAAAAACATCCACATTATCTAAAAAGAATGCAGGCCGGGGTTGCTTGCATGGACAATATTCATCCACATAAGGACGTAGACAGGCGACGTCGACACAGCTACGTACTTTTCTACAGGCTTCTGCTAGCAGATTGCTACAAAAAGACTTATTGCCAGTTTGCTTGCTTGGCACTGTGCAAACAGCATGCAAGAACGTGGTACACGTACATATATTGATATATACTCGCAATATTCAAATTTATAGTCAAAAATCTCTTTGTCTTTAGGGGATGAAAGGATTAGCTGAATCTGCTTCAGCTTGAAAATTTTGATCAACTGAAAGTCGTTCCGGAGGAGAGAAAAAACGATGAGAAATACGGGAAAATGGAAGCAGTGTACCATGGAGGTACGGTAACAGCGGGTTTATATCCTCTACCATGATATCACTACCATTACAGACACTGACGTGTAGGATAATAGGAGGTTACAACCTGCCCGTATATCAGTGATTGTGATGGTAGTAACATTATTACGGTAGAGGCTCATCACCTAGTAACAGCCGATGATGTAAATTATTTTCATTATCTTTAAAAGGAAATTAAAGAAAGAAAAATGGAGGCGGAGAGAGGTCAGGAGAGATATGGGCTTACGTTGATGTTGCCCTTGACGCCGGCCTCCTCCATCGCCTCCCGGCACGCCGCCTCGTACACGTCCTCGTCGTCCTCCCACCCGCCCTGCATGTCGCAGCCGGCGATCGTTAGTGATGAATCAAGCAAAAGAGCGAGCTAGCTAGCTAGGTGATCGTTCATGGCATTTTCATGGTATCGATCTGATGATGATGACGACGACGATGGCGCTAGATGTTGTTTGGTTATTATTATTGTTATTATTACCTTGGGGAAGACGAGGTCGGCTCGATTGGGCGTGGACACCATGAGCACCTCCAGCTCGCCGCCGCCGCCGCCGCCGCCGGCGGCGACCACACGGTACGGCACGCAGCCGGCGACGAGGCGGTACTCGCCGTCGTAGCGCTGCCTCAGCCTCCCCTTCCTCGCCGCCACGACCGCGACCTCCTCCTCCTCTTTCTTCTTCGACGACGACGCCGCCATTGCTGGATCGATCGATCGATCGATCGGAGCCGTAGATCGATGCGACGAGCTAGCGACGGGATGGGTGTCCTCGGCGAACTCTCCTTCCCGCGCGATTTATTTAAAGGGGCGGAGAGGCGGGGGTCGTCGTCGTCATTGGGTCAACCGCCATTAACGCACCCCCAGCAACACACAAAATTAAACAAAGCAACAACTCGATTCTTTCTCTTCAACTCCCAAGAAGAGGAAGAAAAGAAAGAAAGAAGAAGAAGATGGATAAAAGAAATCGTGGAGGAACGAATTGGGCGGCGCCTCGAGCCGGCCTATGATTGAGATCGAGGAGGTGCTCTGCTCCTGCTGGCTATTCTATTCTTGCTCTCTCTGTTTTTGGGTTTGTTCTTCCCGGGAGGAGGAGGGATGGACGGACGGGGGATTTATAAATAAATGTGTGAATAGGTGGGAAGGACGAAGCTACGTGAGAGGGGGCCGGGAGGGTGTGGGGCCCATATGGAAGCATATCCTCCGTGGCAATCACAGTGAAATATATATTCCCTCTAACATACTCCCTTTGTCCCATAAAAAACAAATCTGGCACCAGATGCGACATATCCTAGTACTATGAATCTGAACTAGCGTATGTTCAGATTCGTACTATTAAAATGTATCACATTCGATACTAGGTAAGTTTTTGTGGGACGGAGTGAGTATTATATACTCACAGTAGAAAACACAGGTAGGTTGTTCCCTTTTTTACCCAACTCTTCTCAATTGTCTTTCATATGCACGCTTCCAAACTACGGTGTGTTTTTTTAAAAAAGTTTTTTATAAAAAAATTGTTTTACAGAAATCATATTAATCTATTTAAAAAAATAGCTATTAATCGTACGCTAATGAGTCGCTTCGTTTTACGTGCGTGAGAGATTAGCTCCCAACACCATAAAACGAACATAGCCTAACTAAGGCATGAACAATGGTGTGATGTTAGCGTCTAATGGAAAATGTTTTATATAAATAATATACGGTCTAATGAATATGTTAGTATAAACAATATACAGTCCAGATATGTTAATAAGTACTACCTCTGTTAGATGTAAGCATTTTTTTAAGATGAGTACGAGTATTAAGGAAGTATGTGAAAATGATCAAAGAAAAATTATGATTGATTAAGAAAAGAAAATAGATAAAGAAATTAAATGTAGAATGATCGTGATTGGTTAAGAGGAGGATAGGTGAAGAAATAGCTTCATTTTGGGATATAGTATTATGCTTAAATTAGTTTCATTTAAAGACATAGGTAGTGCATATATACAGTCTGACAAGTCATCTATAGAATCGTATCATTAATTATATTTGTCGGTGACATGGGGCCGGGGGTATCGTGACTAGAGGCTTGGGTAGCCACGGTCACCCACGTGGCCTGACCCCCTCGGGGGGGTTGGGCCCGAAGGAGACGTGGCCACCCCTCCCTCTGTCTCCCCGAGGGGTCGGGCCGCTCCCGTTTCGGCCCCGAGGGCTGGGGCGCCCCGACCCCCTGTGGTTTTGGCGCCACGTGTGTGGGTTAGGTGAGCACAGCGGCGCTCACCTAACCGCATTTATAGCGGGCTAGACGAGCGCGCCACGCCGCATTCAATGCGGCGCAGCGCATGCTTATCCGGTCTGTGACCAGTCGCGGTATGTGACCGGTCACAGACCGGTCAGATCGCGGGTTAGGTGACAACAGGTGGCCTGTCACACGCCTCGCCCCGTCCCGTCGGAATGATGAGAGCTTCCTAGCTCTCGTCCCTAGCCGGAGCCGGCGTGCCAACTCCAGGAGTGGGTATGTCAGTCCCGGTCAGATTCATTCCAGGCTTCAGCGCAAGTATGGCAAGGAAGTCGCTGGCCAGTAAATGAAGGTTGAAGTGGGCGTCCACCGGGAGAGCTGACGAGCGGAGCAGGAGACGTGTGTGCTGCTTGTCAGAGGTCATTTTCGGCTGTAGATTAGCCCTCATTGCAAAAAGCATGTTTCTTTTCTTAGGCAGCTAGAGGCCTATGTGGTGACCCCTAACCAGATAAAATAAAGGAGGCCCAGGCCTAAAGAAAGAGGAGGTCGAACTCTGGGGAGGGGATGGGAGAGTCTGAACTCTCTCTCGCTCTCGAGCTCTCTGGCTCCAGAGCTTTCTGTATTCCTTCACACACAGATCCACCAGAACACAGGAGTAGGGTATTACGCTTCTCAGCGGCCCGAACCTGTCTACGTCGCCCGTGTCTTGTGCATTTCCTCTCTCGCTGACATTCCTCAGATCGAGGGCGAAGAACCTCACTTAGCGCCCCCGGCCGAACCGGCAAAGGGGGGCCTGCGCGGTCTCCCGGTGAGGAGCCCCACGCTCCGTCATCTGGCGCGCCAGGTAGGGGGCGCGCGTGTCTTTCTAAGCCCTCGTCCTCTTTCGTGTGCGCCAAGCTTCGCCCGCTCAGCCCAATGGCCGAACGGGCAGTGGCGCACAGCCTCTCTCCGAACGCTAGCGGTGACGACGGGGAGCAGAACCCGCGCCGTCGGGCTCGCACCCCACCGTCCCCCTCTCGCCGAAATCTTGGGCGGGGGGAGGCGCTCAGGGAGGTCGGAGGATCCGCGACTTCGCCGCCCGCGGGCGACGGGGGAGGACGACGAGACGGGGCGCGTCACCGCCTCGTCTACGGCGATGGCGGCACGCCCCAGGGCGCGCTCCAGGCTGCGGGCGCGCTCCTGCGTCACCCGCCCGTCGTCCCCGATCCAGAGACTCCAGCCCGACGTTGGCTGGATGACGTGGCCGACTTGGTCATGACGGCGCAGCAGCGACTAGGCGCCGGCGGGCGGTCCTCCGCCACCGAGGCCTCTGGTGCTGCCGCCGCCGGCTCCAATTCGTCGAGGTGGAGGGCGCGGCGAGCGGCGGCCGTTACCCGCCGTTCGTCCGCCATTCCCTCGTCAACGCCTCCAACCCAAGAAGATGTGCATGGGGGGCCGGATGCCCGCCTCGATATCGAGCGCCGGCGCGACGATCGTCGCGCCGCCCACGCAACGGAGGGCGCTTCCTCGTCCGGAGCGCCGCTTCGGTCCGGGCACGGGGGCCGGCCCCCCGTGTCCCCGGTTGGCGGTGCCGGCTGTCGAGCCTTTGTGGCGAGCCTTCGGAACGTCCGTTGGCCCCCAAGGTTCCGGCCCACCATCACCGAAAAATATGACGGAAGCGTCAACCCCGCCGAGTTTCTCCAGAGTCTACACGCGCGGGGATGGAGGCCGGCGGGGGGTGACGACAGGGTCATGGCGAATTTCTTTCCCATGACCCTGAAGGGTCAGGCGCGGGGTTGGCTAATGAACTTGCCACCCGCGTCGGTCCACTCTTGGGAGGATTTGTGCCAGCAGTTCACCACGAACTTCCAGGGCACATATCCGCGCCCGGGCGAAGAAGCGGACTTGCATGCGGTACAGCGAAGGGACGATGAGTCTCTTCGCTCGTACATTCAGCGGTTCTGTCAAGTCCGCAACACCATACCGTGCATCCCCGCACACGCGGTGATCTACGCGTTCAGGGGGGGCGTGCGGCACAACCGCATGCTCGAGAAGATCGCCTCCAAGGAGCCCCAGACCACCGCGCAGCTTTTTGAGCTCGCGGACCGTGTGGCTCGCAAGGAGGAGGCCTGGACCTGGAACTCCACCGGTTCTGGTGTGGCAGCTCCGGCCGCCCCCGGGTCCGCCGCTCAGTCAGGGCGGCGGGACAGGAGGAGGAAGAAGGGGTCGGCCCGTTCCGACGACGAGGGTCATGTCCTCGCCGTCGAGGGCGCTTCGCAGGCCCCCCGAAAGGGGAGGCCTGCGAGCGACAAAAAGGAGGTCGGCGCTCCCAGCAGGGAGCGCCCAACCGGCAAGTGGTGTACCGTGCACAACACCTCCCTCCACGACCTCGCGGACTGCCGCGCGGTCAAAAGTTTGGCTGAGCGGACGAGGAAGTGGGAGGAGGAGAAGAGGCAGGAGCGCCGTGAGGGCAAGACCCCGGCGGCTCCCGCCGGCAACCGGCGAGGTGAGGCCAAGCAGAAGGCCACCGCCGAGGACGTCGACGATGGCGACGATGACCTGGGGTTCCAGGAGCCTGAGGCCACCGTCGCCACCGTCGATGGGGGAGCGTGCGCTCACGCTTCTCGCCGGAGCCTCAAGGCCATGAAGCGAGAGCTTCTGGCCGCGGCCCCTACCCATGAGGCGACGCGGCGGGCGCGGTGGTCGGAGGTTGCCCTCACCTTCGACCAGACCGACCACCCGCCGTGCGTTGCCCGGGGAGGACAGATCGCGATGGTGGTTTCCCCTACCGTTTGCAATGTGAAGTTGGGGCGTGTCCTCATAGACGGGGGTGCAGCCCTCAACATCCTTTCCCCCGCAGCCTTTGACGCCATCAAGGCCCCGGGGATGGTGCTCCGGCCGTCCCAGCCGATCATCGGTGTGACGCCGGGGCACACCTGGCCGCTGGGTCATATCGACCTCCCGGTCACCTTCGGTGGTTCCGCCAACTTCCGCACGGAGCGGGTGGACTTCGATGTGGCGGACCTCAGTCTGCCCTACAACGCGGTCCTGGGGAGGCCCGCGTTGGTGAAGTTCATGGCAGTGGTCCACTACGCCTATCTCCAGATGAAGATGCCGGGCCCCGGTGGCCCCATCACCGTCCATGGCGACCTCAAAGTCGCGCTTGCTTGTATGGAGCAGCGCGCGGACCACCTTGCCGTGGCGTCCAAGCCCGTAGGTGGCGACGAGAGACTCAGCACCTCCGTCCCGGCCGCCCCAAGGCGGCGGATGGTCACGTGCGACGAGGTCCCGGTCAAGGAGGTTGCCCTGGGCGACGGCCCGTCCAAGACCACACGAATCGGTGGTCTTCTGGACGACAAATAGGAAGACGCGCTCGTCTCCTTCCTGCGGGCAAACGCCGATGTCTTCGCCTGGAGACCGGCGGACATGCCCGGGGTCCCCAGGGTAGTGATTGAGCACCGTCTCGCCGTGCGGCCGGGCGCAAGGCCGGTCCGGCAGAAAGTGCGGCGGCAGGGCCCAGAACGTCAAGCCTTCATCCGCGAGGAGGTGGCGCGACTTCTGGAGGCCGGATTCATCCGCGAGGTCATCCATCCGGAGTGGCTGGCGAACCCTGTCGTCGTTCCCAAGGCGAACGGCAAGCTTCGGATGTGCATTGACTACACCGACCTTAACAAGGCATGTCCTAAGGACCCTTACCCCCTGCCACGCATAGATCGGATTGTCGACTCCACCGCGGGGTGCGACCTTTTGTGTTTTCTAGATGCATACTCTGGTTATCATCAGATTCGCATGGCTAGGGACGATGAGGAAAAAACTGCATTCATTACCCCCATAGGAACTTATTGTTATACGACAATGCCTTTCGGGTTAAAGAATGCAGGTCCTACTTTTCAACGTACTAC